CCCTGTTTCGTGGTAAGATATACAGCAATAACAATACAGAGAGGAGGGTCCTTGAAATTAATGCCTCTCTCGTCAATTTTTTACAATTTACCTCAAGTTAAACTATTAAAAAGTGTTACATATATATATATATATATAAAAGGTTGATAGTTAAAATTTATTATTTTTTTTGTATAAAAATGATATTTATTTTTAATTAATATCATAAAAAGTAAATAAATATCAACTATTAAAAATGGAGGGATATATATATATATATATAAAAGGTTGATAGTTAAAATTTATTATTTTTTTGTATAAAAATGATATTTATTTTTAATTAATATCATAAAAAGTAAATAAATATCAACTATTAAAAATGGAGGGATAAATGATAAAAATTTTGTATTAATATGATTTATAAAATTTATTTGTAAATCTTTTCCTATTTATGTATATCATATTATATTATTAAAAAATTATTTTACAATTCAAATTATATTAAGTTATAAAATAAAAATTTTAATATAGAAGACAAACTACATAATATTAAAGGTCCTTTTTTATCTAAAAATTTTTATTTTATTATCTAAACTATAAAAAAATTATATTGTATTAAATTCTTAACAGTAAAAACACCATAGAATGGGATCTCATTTTGTATTTCCTGATCATCTTTTTTATAAAAGAATTAAATTCTAGCTTGCCTGAGGATGATGCAATTGTTAACCAATTTTACCTTCTTTTTTTTTTTTTTTTTAAGCCATCAACCAAATTTAAATATTGAAGTGAAAAATATTATCTCATTCATAAAGCAAAAAATGGCAAAACTGAAAGCCACTATTTCCTGCAGGTAATTTCAGTGTATAATCTCATTCATACTACACTTATTAATGGTAGATGAGTAGGTAGTTAGATGGATACATATGGCCATATGGGGAGAGATATGAAAAGACTAGTCAAACGTCAAATCATGGGTCTGGAAATCATAAGACAGTCAGTAGATGTGTTGTCAATCCATCAGATTTTCTTATATCTTCTTTTCTTTTTCAAATTTGTAAACAACATAGTAAATTAGAATTAACATTTTCAATTTCTTATCAAATATTAATATTAATTTTGTTATTTAACAAGTTATTTTTTATTTGTTTAAATAGTAAAGTATTAATTTTATAATTATAATTATTAAAAATTTTATAAAATTAATAATAAATCTCAGTAATTAAAAAATAAATTATTTACTGTTTATGTAACACATTTTAAAATTGTAACCTCTTTTATTATTAGTGTGATATGTCTCATATATCATAATATGCTATATACGGAGATAATACTGTAGGCAAGGGCCATGTATGCCCATGTGGGTGATGTCATGTGATGGGTACTTTTTTATTAATTGAAACCTTAAGGATTATTTTTTTGGCAGAAGGTGCAGATGACCCCCTCAACTCAACAATTGGTGGCAAATCACCCCCTCAACCCATTTCACGCGCAAATCACCCCCTCAACTCACCTGCAGTGGCAAATCACCCCCTCTGTTAACACCGCCACCATTATTCCGTTAGCTTTCATCCGAACCCATGATTTCTTCTCCCAGTCCATTCGGTAAATATAACAAGCACTAAGTAAACATTGTTTCTTCACCCCCATCAACAGATCACCCTTCACCTCCACCAAGTAATAGCATTGGCATCCCTCTTTGACTGGTTCTACACTTAGTTTCACTGCTTTCTGAAAGTTGTTGGCGGTAGGTTGAATAACCCAGATGTAACCGTAAAAATCAATGGCGTAGAAGTCACCCTTGTAGAATATTGCATCGGAACACCGTCCCATGAAGTTGTTTATTTTGATCCATGCATGATCCCCTGTTCTGCAAAAAGAAAAACTGTGTCTGTGTTTACCGGGATGGATGGCCAAGACTTTGCAGAGAGGATCCGTCGGAATTAGACCTGGCAAAAATCCACCCGACCCGTCAACCCGACCATAACCCGACCCTTAAAAAACGGGTTAGGGTCTACATATTTCAACCCGCAACCCGTAGATAACCCGTATCATCAACCTGTACGGGTCACGGGTCGGGTTAGGGTCAACCCGCGGGTTGATGGGTTGACCCGTTTGTTTTATTTATTATTATTATTTTTAAATATTATACGTATCATCCTTAATTAATTTTCCTATTGACAACTCCTTCCATTAATTCATACTCCCTAATTTCTAGAGAAAGAAGAAGAAATTATGATAAGTTTGATCTAATTACCCAACTATTATTATTATTTTTTTTGGTATTAACAATTACCCAAGTATCATGAATGAAATGATAATGCAACTAAAAATATTAAAAGATGTGATATTAGGACATAAACATAATAACTTAGTGAAAGATGTTCTTGGAAGAGCAATTTTATCATTAAAAAAATGGATTAAACTACTTAATAATGTTTCAAGATAATTATAAAATTAAAACTTTATTTTTCAAGAAATTTAAA